GCCTGCAATTGTCCATGTCAATGCACAGCCAATTTTAGGTATAAATGCAACTTATTTTGTTATTTATTTTTCTTTAACTTGTTTGGGTGATTAGGAGGAAATAAGTTTGGTTATGGTTGTATTTTCAGCTTCTGGAGATGGTCCAATTGTATTGGTATTAGCTCCAACGCGTGAACTTGCCGTTCAAATACAACAAGAAGCTACAAAATTTGGTGCATCATCTAGGATAAAGAGTACATGCATATATGGTGGAGTTCCAAAGGGGCCCCAGGTGCGTGATCTCCAGAAAGGTATGTGGTCATATATTTTTGAATTGATGTGAGTTAGCTTTTAGACGTTAAGATAAGTCTCAGAAGGTCTGCTATCTCCTAGAGGTTTGATTGCTTGAGTGACTTTGTTTTTAATTGCTTATTATGCTTGTTGAAAACATGATTATTACATTTATGGTTTGATCAGGTGTTGAGATTGTTATTGCTACGCCTGGGAGGTTGATAGATATGTTGGAGTCACATCATACAAACTTGCGAAGGGTTACATACCTAGTCCTGGATGAGGCTGATAGGATGTTAGACATGGGGTTTGATCCTCAGATACGAAAAATTGTTTCTCAGGTTATTTCTTTTCCTTTTGTTTTTTCTCCCCTTGGAAGTAACATTTCCCACAATTTATTGAAAATGTATGTCATATGTCTATCTTTCTCTGTAGTTGTGGCTACATTTTATTATGAATTTAGCTACTCTTCTCAGCGCCAGCTTGGTGGCCCCCTTTCTTTCTTTTTCCCTTTGTTACCTTTTTTGGCTTTTAACTTGTTTGCTATCAATGCTGATTCATTGGCTACTTTATTCTACTGGTTGCTAGAAACCATCAGAAAATATCTTAACTCTTGACTTTTAAAATATTCTTTTGGGTTTGAAAATTCATATATTTGGCTTGACTTTTCCCAGATTTGGTTTTGAAATCACGATATAATTGATTCTTGCCCAGGTAGAGATAGGTCTTCTATTTTGGGATGTCACCGTGGTCAATGATGTCATGCTGAACATGTATAGGCTTTCTCTGCAGGCCCCTTCTTTTCTGCTTTGCTGTTATGTGAAACATTGCAGCTGTGACATCCACTGTCATTCTAGTTCTTGCAATTAGATGGTGTCCTTTCTGGGGCGGGAGAAGGGTTAAATCTCTTTTAGAGCAAGCATCCTGATAGTTCATTCCCTGTATTACTTCTAGATGATGACTTGCTAATGCCCCAAATGGAATGGATGCTTAGTTTAGATTTGCTGCTTCCTTTTCCCCCAAAATATGAATGTAAAGAGGTGAAACAAGGTTAAAAGAAAATGGACAGGAAGTGTCTTTTCGTGCAACTTTATGGAGTATTGGGAAAAAAAGTCACCTTGTTAAAAGTTGAAACTGCCTACTTTTTAAGCATTAATATTAGTTGGCATTATTTCCAGATTCCCTGAATGACCTTATGTTTCTTGTTTGTTTTGCTCTCTGCAGATTCGGCCTGATCGTCAAACTTTGTACTGGAGTGCTACTTGGCCAAAGGAGGTTGAACAACTGGCAAGGCACTTCCTTTACAACCCATACAAAGTAAGACATGAGACAAATTTTGTACTAGTTTGTGGCTTCTTCTTTGAGGACTTGTTTTCCTCTGCTTTTTGTTATGTACCCTGCTACTAATGCACTTACCTATATGCTAAGTTATCTATTTTTTTATCTTTTATTTTATAATATGAGGGATGTCTAATTTCTATTTTTCTTTACTGATTGGACAACAGAATATGTTAATTTTATTTGTGGCAGCAACTATCTTAGATTGTTTTGAAACCCTGTTATTCAATTGCTTTTTCTCTATCTTTGACTGTAAACAGGTGACAATTGGTTCTGAAGAGTTAAAAGCTAACCATGCAATACACCAAATTGTTGAGATTGTTTCCGAGAATCAGAAATATAACAAGTAGGGAGCAATTTACACTGTTCTTGTAGTTTCTTTTTCTTGTGATATCCTGGGATTTGTTAAGGTTGTTTACTGATTAATCTTGATTAATCTTGATATACAAGACTGGTGAAGTTGCTGGAAGATATCATGGATGGTAGCAGAATATTGATTTTCATGGATACCAAGAAGGGATGTGACCAGGTCACTCGGCAACTTCGCTTGGATGGTTGGCCTGCTCTCTCAATTCATGGAGATAAAAGTCAGGCAGAAAGGGATTGGGTCCTCTCTGAGTTCAAGGCTGGCAAGAGTCCTATAATGACCGCAACAGATGTTGCAGCTCGTGGTTTAGGTATGTACGCTACCTGCATGACTGCATCAAATTTACTTGTTGAATGCCAGTTGTTAGAGCATGTTTGGTTCAGCTTCCAAGTGCTTCAGCTTTTTGATACTATTCATGTTTCATAAGTTTAAATTTCTCTCTTAAAAACTTATATTTTTAAACTTTTTTTTTAACCTTAAAAAGACCTCAAACAGTAAAAGAGTAAAAGCTCAAAAGTTTCAAATCCAAGCTTTTCATAAACTCCCTTTTTACTCACTTTTTACTCACGTTTTCCTCTCTAAAAGCAACTTTTAAATTTTCCCTCCAATAAAAATTTAAACTTATCACTCATGAACAGTACAAAAGGGGTAAAAGCTCTTACAAGCTAACCCAAACATGCTCTTAATCTCTTACTTTTGGAACTTTATATTCTGAAGTGACCTTGACCCAGTTTGAGTATTCAGTCATGCCACAAACAGCCCTTTGATGTTATATAGACTGAGCATCATCAACATCATGTCACTTTCACCTTTTGAACAGCATTCCCAGCCTTGTATTCACATGCTTTTGTTACTCTTTCGACAGAACTCAGAAGCTTTTTGTGTTTTGTTTTTCTTTTCGGTTATGTAACTAAATGTTGTCTGTTTCTTAACATTTAACATCTTAGCAAATGGACAGAACCATGTAATTTTACCATCATAGATAAACCCTTTTCCTTTTGGCACATACATAAATTCTTTTAAACTTGAGTAGTGCTGCTGCTTGTCATGTTAAATACAGTACAAACTACAAACCACCATTTAAGGCACTTGTGTTTGTTTGAGTGCTAATTTGTCTTCTTTCTTCCAATATTTAGCATAACATTTAGAGCAGTATGGTATGCTATTTGGAAGGCTACACATTTTTGAAAAATTTCCTGCACATGAAGCTTCTTTAGACCTTGTTGATTTTAATGTTTCCTACTACTTGAACTTTTAGAGCTAAAGCCTCCCATTTATGGACATCCATTATGGAGTGTGTATTCAACTATTGTTATTACAATTTTGCTGGAAGTTATTAATGCTTTATTTCCCTATGGAAAGTTACAAAATAGATAGGGGTATAGGAATCTGGCCTTCCTTTTGACTTGAAAGAATGAACTGCTGATGTTCATCTAGAGTATGGGAAACATGCAGCCTGCGGCTATAATTTTCTACTTGCTAAGGTTTTGGAATGGGGGAGTGCCAATTTTTTGCGTGCTTTAACATCTCTATATACCATTCTGATTTGGTGGCAGATGTGAAAGATGTCAAGTATGTGATCAACTATGACTTCCCGGGATCCCTCGAAGATTATGTCCATCGCATTGGTCGAACAGGAAGGGCTGGGGCAAAAGGAACAGCCTACACTTTCTTCACGGCTGCAAACGCCAGATTTGCAAAGGAGCTAATTAGCATACTTGAGGAAGCTGGACAAAAGGTCACTTCGGAGCTGGCTGCAATGGGACGTGGTGCACCACCTCCTCCATCAGGTTAGTTTTCTGTTCTTCCGCTAGGAACATAAATGCATGGCACCATTCAGCAGCAGCATATCTCAATCTCTTATCATCTATGAATGTGTAATATGTGTAGCAGTAGCATGTCTTGATTTACCTCTTGGTTTGTGATATGTTAAAAGTGCTTACACCTTGTTTGGTTTGTATGTCTGGTGAATCAGGTCATGGTAATTATCGCGGCAGGGGTTATGGAGGCAGCCGCCCGCGGTAACCATTAATTGTCAGAAGAACCACCATGAATGGTAGATTAGGAACTGTAATACTACAAGCGGGTACAGTTTTAGAGGCTTTTACTTTCTTTTTTACTTGCTACAAATCTGTATCTACTTTCTGATAATCAATTTTTCCCCCATGTAAAGGGATGGAATAACCCTCTCTCTCTTTCTCTCAGCAATTGTCAATTTAGCTCCTCTATCTTAAAATAATATACATTTTTGGGGTTAGAATATGTCTCAAAATAAATATATATTTTTTACTTTAATTTTATTATTATCTTTTTAATTTAAATTATCTTTCTTGTTATACAAATAAATTTTCCCATGAGGAGAATGTAAGAATTTGCTTATAAGCTTTCTAAATGATAAAAATAAAATTTTCTCCTCTAACAAAAATTGTCACTCAAAATATAAGTTTTCAATCACAATTAAAATGTGATATATATTATGTTACATGTGGGTATTTGAATATTTAGGTGTGGGTTTTTAAATATAATGAATCAATTATATAATGATAGATTTTAATTGTAA